GTTTGTTCTTGTTGTGAATTATCGGTTCATTGTGGATTCCTTCTTTACGAGGAGGACGTTTACTTCTTTTGCATGCTAAACGTTCTCTTCGTCACCCCTGTTCGGATTATTCGCCCGCCTCCTCCGCCTTTTTCGTCGTGACATCGCGCGACTTTGACACTCCCGATTCCGAAGGAAGATGAACGACGCGAATGACAAAATTTCCAATTTCGGATGGAACAATTTTCAACGAGTTCGGTTACCATATTGGATATGGACGATAATCGTAATAATAATATCGTTTCAGACTATTCCCAGATAGAAAGGTTTAGGATAATTCGCTGTCGTAGACTGTTGTTAACATTTTGGGAATTTTCAATTTGCCTTGGTAAAATGTAAAAACTAGTCGTGTCTCTTATATATTTCATAAATATTAAATATCCGTTGAAACGAAAACGAAATTGAAACGATTGTGTGAACAGATTCTCGAAACGGATGATCGGAAAATCGCGTACATCTTGAAAACGCCTCTCGAAGGGGCGTTCGAGGGGGCACGTGTTAACCTATCGACGTTCGATAACACGATAAAAAACTATATTATAATTTCGAGCGCCGCCTTTTAAACATATTTTTCCGGTTGGTAAAGTAATTTCGAGCCTTCCCCTCCCCTCCGTGGAAGGCGCAATGAGATTATGAATTCGTATCGCCGATGTCAAATTATTAAATCCGACGAGGTGTTCGTCAAGGAACGGATAATGCAATTTTTATACGCTTCGCTTGTACCGGTTCCATTATCGATTCGCGTCGCTCCTATTCATCCCCCCCCCCCCTCCCCGTTCCCTCTCCCCATCCCCCGTTTCAGCTGTTGCTTCGATCGCGTTAAAAATTATGCGACAAATTTTAGTGTTTTTTTCGAGATCGCCCACTCGCCCCTCCCCTCCCCACGGAATCAGGGCGGGTTGACCGGCCGCAAGGGTGGTGGATTCAGTTTCCATATTTATGATCTGGTTAATAATCATCCCTTGTCTCCTACCCATTTCCCCTGTGATATTTAATAGAACCCGACTCGAGCGACCTTACATTCGTAATCTGTTTTTCCCCTCCCCCTCCTCCTTCCATTCTTTTCGCAGTGAATTATTATTGTTGGAAAATTAGGTGTTTGAATTATTGGGCGATGGGAAGAATTTGGTGATTTTTGTGACGTAAGAAGTTGATTTGACTTTTTTTGTTTTTTGTGACGATCGTAAAGTAATAGATGTCGGAAGATTTGATTGAGGTTTAACGTTAAAAAAAAAAAAAGAAAAAAGAAAAGAAATTATCGTTGATATCAAGAAGGAAGGAATAATAAAATAGTGCTAGTCATATTTGTGAATAATACACGATTTTATGTACGTCTTTCATTATGATTCTGATATTCGATACTCGTACAAGTATGAATTATGAATTGGCGCATTATCAAATTGTCTTGTTCCACATTTGTCGTTGTAATTTATAACAGGGATATTATTTATTATGGATGGGTAAATCGAGCTTATTAACTGTTTTTGCATTAGGTAGGTAGGAAAAAAATTACATTTTAATTAAAATTGATTTTTCTTTTAAAACCCTAAGTCGGTCGGGCATTACGGAGGCCTTGAAAACTATAGACCCTTATCTTTTAACACTCTTCGTAGAGAGAATGCAGAGGCGTACGGGTTTATTAATTTATTAATTAAGAAGATAAGTAAAAAATTATTTAGATCGTATCTGCTAGAATTTGTTTTAATATTCGTTTTAATATATATTCATTATGTTAATGACACACTTTGTTATCTCTGCATATTGTTTTCAAATCTTTTTACTTTGAAACCGTTTTATCACTCGGACGACTCATTTTCTTTGAATGCAAGAAATCCCGAAAGTATTATTTTTTAATTTATATTAGTATTAACGGCCATTACATTTTCATCGTTCCATTATAATCAAAGCTTGAGACGTTTCTTTCTTTTTTTTTTTTTTCGAATAATTCGACACTGTTCAACATTTTCCAAATTTTTCACATTTTGGTAAAATTAAGGGAATGAAACGAAATCTAGAATAGAATAGTGGAGTTTGTATGAAAAATATTTCATTTTACTAAAAACTTTATACAATATCTTAATTTAATTCGTCACGTAAAGTTTATTTTTGGGATAATTAATATCTCTTTTTATCTAACACTAATTCAATGGCCTCGTTTAATCCTTCTTTTTGAGTTAGCCCTGGATATTCCAAAAAGTATGATCAATTTTTTCAAAATTTCTTAGAAATATAGAAGGAATAACCGTTGCCATTATTTATTATTCGAAAGATCGAATCTTTCATATCGTGCAATTTCTACAAGATTCTTTTCTTCAAGAAAAATCTATCGAAGCAATATTCTCATTACAAACGCGTGCAACGCGTTTATTATTTAAAATCGATAATTTCTTAATTGCTTTCATTTGTGAAATTTCGAATCAGATCTTTGGCAAATGATTTTCGTCTGGATTCATTTCGTCTAGAATTAAAGGGTGTTTATTAACGTTTGAGAGAATGGTGGGGGGGGGGAGGAAGGGGCACGTTAGTTCCTCTTAGTCCATCGTTTTCGGTTAACAGAGAGAAGGGATGGAAAATGGAAGGGTAAGATTAATATTGACGAATTCCTTGCTTGCACGCGCTTTCTCTATTTTCGAAACGACGTCAGAGAGAGAGAGAGAGAGAGAGAGTACTTTTGATCTCTTGCGTGTTTGCAGAAATTTCCTCGCGTGTGTGGTTTGTTAAACGCTTTTCATCGGTTCTCTCCCACTTTCCTTTTATGTTACCTCGATGAGTACATCAATTATTGGGTATTTACGTAGAAGGATGACCTACGTTCTTTCAGGTGTTTATGTTGCTTTGATATAACCCTTTAAGGATTTCAATCGTGATGTGAGAAAAAATTATCGTATATTTCGTATCTTTCCGTTTCGATCTGAATGGATATCAAATTGTCGCATCACTCTCTATTTTCGAATTATTAAGTTCCGATTCGAGATCCAAAAATCTTAAATCTTCGTATTGGAAATTGTTGTTCAAAGTTAAAGTTTCAAATTCGCTTGTTGTTAGAAAATCGTTTAAAATTATTTTTTCGGAATAATAAATTGTTGCGAAAGAAATTGAATAATTGTCTGTAATCCATAAATAGGATAGCTTTTGGGGGATAATAATGTGAGCAACTTTCAATCTTCTCGCGATAATGATAATACACGCACACCATTTTTACATTTTTTCGTTGCAATGCGGTGGGAATTCGTAGTCTCAAAAAATTACGATGATAATAACGTAGTACCTTTGTGCGAGTTACGAGGTACCAGAATTGAAGTGTTATTTAAGCTCGGGAAATTGAAATTCAGGAAAGCGGAATCTCTTTCACAGTTGCTTGTAAGCTTGTATAATTTTCATTACTTGGCAAATTGTAGTAATTTTACTCGGTTTCTGGTTAGTTTAGTTAGAATTCTCTCTATTCGTCGGATCCAATCGATGATCTTGCGATCTCCGTTTCGACGACGATCAATAAACGAGAATTGAGTTATTTCTGAAAAATTATTTTTATCGCGACGATTTGTGCAAACTTTATCCTTCCACTCGTCGGGTTTATCAAAATTTCAATACTCGAAGATGACTATTAGATTCTCAAAGAAGAGATACATTCAAGATAAATCGTTCGAGATGATCGATCAACTGATCGACCAACGAATTTGCAAACTTTAACTCGCTCGACATTTATCAAAATTTCACAACTCAATTCTCAAAGAGGAGCGCATTAAAGATGACCATAACATGGCATCCCAAACTTTGTCAAAATATATTTACTCACAAATTTCACGTCTCGACATGCAAGTTCTCCTAAAAAAAAAAAAGTATCTCGAAGATTTATCAAGCGTTTAATAATTTTATCATTTCACGTTTCACGAAATTACGACACGTTCGAAAATAATTACCACCTTCCTCCCCGATGGTGGCGCGCACACGAATGCTTAAAGAGCATCGAGAATCCTATCCTCCTTTCGGGGGGATCTTTATTTCATCGGATGGGCGGGATATTATAATCACGTTGTACTATCGATTGACGTGTGCACAGAGGGTTGTGCACACTGCCGTCTCCCTCCCTCTCTCTCTCTCTCTATACGTGTATACGGTGGCTGAAAAGGGGGTCGTGTAGAGAGAGTGTTAGGCGGAAGGGAGGAAGCCGAAGCTGGCAGGGAGAAGACGCTGCCTAATAGAATGCCAATATGATTATGTGTGCCATGCTGCATCCAAACCACGATCCATGCACCACCTACTGGCGATGCTCTTGAATACTCGCCAGCCAATGTAATCGACTGGCACGAAACGACGCTACGGATGAAAACTGAATTTGTTTCGCGAAACCCGACCGTCGAGGAGGGGGAGAGAGAGAGAGAGAGAGAGAGAGAGAGAGAGAGGAGGAGGGAGGAAGAGAG